TTTGGTCACAGAGGATTGTATTTCAGATGCTGTTGCCAACTATATATTACCTTGTTAACTGAGGCAGAAGGTTTGGAGGAGATAGGCTGAAGCAGAGATCCATTATAGAAACTATAGAGTTCCGCTTCCTAAGGCCTTAGATCTCCATCATTTATTTATTTATTTTTCCTTTGAAGTCTTTATCCATACAAAACATTCCACTCACAGACAAATAAAAGTACAAATCACAAAAAACCTCTTTTAACAACAGTTAGACCAATTAGCATTGCAAAATAAAATATCGATTTAAATTTATTTTGAAAAGACTGTCAGTATAATTTTTCAAATACTTATATAGAAACTATATATCTGCCTATAAAATATTCTCCACTATGAAAGTAACAATGTAGGTTAGGCATCCTTTTTAAAAAGACATGAATATTGGGAATAGATTTCAAATTTCACTAAAGATGAATTAGTGTCTTATAAAATTATTTTCGCAATGTTCATATTGTTCTGGATTATGCTCAAGATCCTTAAAAAATGTAGCTCTTTCTCCAAGAAGCTTCTACTGGGATGTCTCAACCCTGCATTTGGAATGTAAGCTTGCCCAGTGAGTTATATCTCTGCATATCTGTCAGTCTTCGAATGGACTATCCGAAAGCCTCGCACTTCTCGGAGGAACCAGTAAAAGTGTGCATTTATTCCCTTGCCCACTTTTAATGAGAACACACAACAGGAGGTGATGAACACAAAGAAACGCATGAGGCACAAGAAAGGAGGATTTATGACTGACTAAATGAAGCCTATGATTTGTATGGTTTACACATCTTTAATACATATGGCCTAATCCACATCCCTAGATCTTTAGCAAACTATGACAACTTCTAAAGCCTTAAAGTAATTATATGCTTAAATTATCTAAAAATCAAAACCAGAAAAAAAAAATCTATGGTTTAATCTTAATTACTATATTTACCTGAATTCTGCCTGGCACAATGTTGTCTGTGGTGGTAAAGATAAGCTGCTTGGCATTAGATGTCTCAGGAGCTGCCAGTATCACCTTTCCTGCACCAGTTCCATCTGGACTAGCTAAAATAAACTGTTGCTTTGGAGATACAGATGAATCCACTGCTGTCACAATTTGTATTTTTTGCCCTGTTTGCTGATCTGTCACAATCTGTAAAACATATTGAAAATTTTTATGTCCCAGTAGACAATTTTTAAAAAAACTCTGAATCTTCTTCAGAATCATATGCTGCTGTCTGATAATGCCCCTTCTTATTTATTATTTTGCTACTTGTGCAGTTATTAGACCTGTGCAAAGTTCTTACACTCACAAACAATATGCAAAACTATAAAACTAAATATGAAATAGGAAAGGAAATACTAGAAGGGTTTGTGAAAAAGCTGGCTCTGCTATCATTAAAAATGAGAAGATATGGGAAAGAGAACTATTGCAATAGCATTTTACTGTTCAAAATGCGTTATGTATAGTGGGTCCCAAACAAAGTAAGAATGAAATATAATGCTAAAGACAGAAGTGAAAACCAAATACACAATATTTAAAGTTATGCTAGTTAATGCTGGAACAAAGTTTCCTTGAGAAGTAAGATTCTGCTGGTTTATGACTTGCATGCTGAACAAAAATATATATATCACTATCATCAACATTGTAGAAAGGAGGGATTCTTAAAAATTAAATGAACATCAATGAATTTTGAATAATTATTCTAATCCAGTAGCCATGTTTTACTTAGGAGAATATTTCCTCATCCTTCAGAAATTAAGTTCCTCCTAAATACGAAGGACAGCAATGCCTTTAGAGACCATCCTAGAACTGAGATGGTTGACTGTGTCTCTAGCTACGGGAGAGCTAGACTTGTATACCCAGGGCAAGTTTAACTTCGCCAATATTTTCCCCACCTTCATAGTCAATATAATTGTTCTATACAGGAGGACATGACCAAATACAATCTTAGGAAGGAAAGGAGTTTTAGTTAGCACTAAGAAATGATCTGCTCTCATAAAATTTAAGGAAATGTTCCATTTTCCACTTTAGTATGCTTTGTATGTAAGTGGAAGGAGAAGACAGAATAAGGGTGTAATAGTTAGTCAATGAATTTTTACCTGAATGCGCTGTGGTGAAGCTACAGAGGAATCTGTGGAAATAATCTGGATACGTTGGGAAGGGCTGGTCATCCCTGGAGATTCAGATAATGAAGTCTGAACAGTCTGCACCTGTAAATAACCCAAATAATTTTGATTTGCTGTCCCAGTCTGAGCATACTTTCAAATACATGGAAGTATCAGATGGCCCTATGGTAGAATCTGAAATTATTGGGAAGATTTCAGTCATTAAAACAACTGGGATCTACTTTCAATTAATTACCGGAATATCGGTCTTTCAGAAAAACAATCTGATCTGATAAACGACAACAACCACCACCACCCCCAACAAAAACCCCACCAGGTAACTATTACTTGTCCTACTTCAGTTTATTGAAATGCAAAAACACACTTTTTAATTTTCAGTTAAATGTTCAACATATTTTTTGCTCCTAAAAAAGAAAACAGGCCATTTGCACAATGACACCTCATGTTAACTATTTCACATTTTGTTAATTTTTAAGTCTTGCTTAAACAACTTCTCCAATTTCAGATAGCTGGAATTTGGTTAATAATAGTGTGTGGTGGTTTTATAGCTTATTTGGAAAATGGCAAATTAATTTTTCAAGTATTAGTTAAAACAAATTTAAGTAATTTCAAGGTAAAAGGTTATTGGAAAGGTGGCTGATTATCAGGATATTTGTGTTTTAGACAGTAGAATAAGATCTGAATTCCAATTGTTCAATGTGCTTACATGCTACTTAAAAAAAAAAAAAAAGAGTAATTATTGTAGCTTTATTTTTTACGTGACAGTGCTGCAGTTTTTTTTTTTTTTTTTCCTGGAACCTGCACTCCAATAGACCACTAATCTATTCAGTACATATTTAGGTGTATGTGGTCAATCCATTGAATTGCCAGTGAATATTTCATGAATATAACAGTGACTAAAATTTGGCAATAAAACTAAATACCATTGTTATTTCATTGTTCTATCCCATCTCTAATAGCATATTCTAAAATCATACACTGTTTATGTTCACCAATACTTTTTATATATTACTTAATACTACTTATGTTCCCGTGTCAAAAATCATCATACTCTCTTTGCTTGACAGATCTGACAAAGGGTAGGCAATATAATCCTAATTAGTAAATAAATGTTTATACGATAGACCACAGCAACTCCGTAGACAACATTACTGTCAACAGTCATCACTGCAACATGGATACATTTTTCAGTCACATTTTTATTATCAGTTTTTATATCGTAAGACGGAAAAAAACACAATAAAATTTAGAAGACAGGCAAATTTTACATATACAACGTATCTGAATAACAAGAAAGGTAAACTCTTAAAATGCTTCAAAAATTAAAAAATGCCTCCTTTTACAAACACTCCATTTTAATGGTAGTTAGTATAGGTAAATGATAAATGATACCATTAAAACGGTAGTAAATACTGTAATGACTATATAGTATATAATGACTAAACCCTATAGGAAAAAATGAACAAAAAATGATACTATTATTTTCTTCTATAGTCAGTTTAGGATACAACCATATACTTAAGAACAGCAATGCACTAATGGGTCAGAACTCTATTCTTTGAAAAAAATGTTCCAGCCCAGATTCTTATGCAAGTCTGTCAAGTGCTAAATGAATACTATTTACTTTCTTTTATAGATTCTACATTTTGATGAGTTCAGAATTGTAAATAATCCATGACAGTAGTTAAAATATACAAACTTTCGGTTTTCTTAAACAAGCCCTGAATACACACACCAGCCCACAGTATATACAGAACTCTACATAGTGCCCCATTGATTAAAATAATTGCATTCTACCTAGGAATGTACTCCCAGAAATCCTCAAGATAATGATTCTAAGTTTTGAAACCTGTCTTTTAACTCCATGTCTTGATCAGCCTCAAAGAAAAAAGCCAAACAATTTATACACTTAAGAGTAACAATACAGTTTTTAATAGATGTAGCAATATGTGACCCAAACCATGAATCTTACAGGTTGCTTTTGTTAAAACCTCTTCTTTGAAACAGTGACGGAATGACTTATTTATAAAAACTTGCATACCTGGAAAACAGGCTAGTGTCAATTTAGTCATTGTTTAAACTTGCACACGAAAAAATCTTTAACATTTTTAAATTTAAAAATTTTAAAATCTAACATTTTCTTTTAAAAATATATTTTAAAAGTTAATCTGTGATGCAAAGAAAGGAAAAGCAGTTTGAATAGTGAGGAAAATTTACTGCACAGTACCTTCAGGGAAGTTAAACTGTTAAAATACACGCAAGTTTTAATGAAGGCACACTGCTCTACTGTCCGATTTCCTGCCTCGTAAGTAGCCCCCTATACTGTAAAAGAAAAATCTAAATCTTAATAGAACATACTATAGGAAGTCATCTTTCATCTATGTAACAAAAGTTGATTACAAATGAGGCAGATGTGCAGGAGAGGTTTAGAAGTAATTTTTCTAATTACTGGATGATACATGGCTGCCAGTAGCAGAAAACACGATACCTAGGCAACAACAACAAAAAAGACTCCTACCATCAAGAGGCTCCTAGATGACACACTTGATTAATGAGGTTTGTAGAGAACACTTTTGAACAATGCCCTTCTTATTTACAATGCAAAAATCACTGCCTAATTTATTTACCATTTCAAAGGTCTTAATTAGGGGAAGATCTTAGAGCACTGCTTTCCAAATGTTTTCACCTTCAATTGCAGAATCCTTGGTCTTTATCTGAGGCATCTTGAAACCTTACCTTAAAAAGCTGTGAGAGAGATCTATTTTCCCCTGCTATTGAAGAATTTGTATGAACACATAAATCAAAATGCTTCTGTAAATATGTTTGGGCTCAACAGCCTTTTCTTTCTTTCCTTTTTTTTTTTTTTCCTCCCTCTCTCTTCCTGGGGTTTGTAGAGTACCTACTGAAAAGGAGTCTTGTACAACTGAGGTTCCAGATACTATGTTAACATAAATACCAATATTGTATGCTGTAAAACATTTTATATTTTTTTATAGTATGGACCACATCATCATGTGAAGGTTGTTTCTACTCATCAACATCAGTCTCCTCTAATACACATATCATTTCTCATCTTCACCATATCACTACTCAGCTACCTTAAGTCCAACAATAAGTACTCTGAAAAGCTGGGCAAGTCTGAGACCTGCTGCCGTTATACATGATATGGCATTTTCATGTTTTAATAGGCAGCACATGTTTTTAAACAAAAAAAGAAAATATTTTAGTCAAAATCATGGTTAAGAGGCGATAATACAGCAATGAATAATATTTTATCTATTTATGTTTCAGTATGCATCATATATTTTACTTTTATTCCCCTATTAACACAAGCATGCATGCTCAGAAAATGGCAAAAGACTCTGAAATCCAGGACCTACCTTAATTTTCAGCTTTATCAACTGAATACTCTGTGAAACAATAGCACTTTTAAATTCCTGACTGCTACAGAAAGTTAGAGGCATATTTTCTAGACAGAATATACATACCATTGGTTAACAGCAAAATAACAAGCATGGCAGAAGGATAAACTTTTTGATTTGAAATATACAATTTACAGAAGTGAGGAAAATAAAATGCTGTATCTTTGTTTTATAGATGAATTTCTACCCTGAAAATTGCCATGACACCACAAAAAATCTGAACTAATTTTATGGTGCTTTACTATCATCCTACCCCAGTCAACTGCAACAATTTTGACTATTTAAGTAAATAGCAGTCTGAGAATATACAACACAGACCAGATGTTTTTAACGTTCTACCAGAGATTTACCAGTCTGAATTCAATTAAGTTAAATTTATGCTATACGAAAAACTAAGCTAATTAGAATTCCAAATGTACTAAATCAAAGTATTCTGAACTCAAATGATTTGTACTCATTTGAGGAATATAATATGGGTCAGCTTTATATTTGGTTTACTTACAGGATTAAACACAACAGTAACTATTCTAATTTGTTGTACAGAAAAAACATCACACCATGAAAACTGTATCACATATTTAGTGACTCCTATGGAAGCTGTACTTCCATAGTACTTCCACACTATAAGCAAAAACCTAGTCCTCCAAAGTGAATCACACACTTCTAAAATTAACAAAAAAAGTCAGATACTCTTTAATTACTCAACTTACTTCTTTCTTACAAAAGTCTTTCAAGAGGTAAAAAACAAAATAGGCCTTAAATCCCAGAAAAAAAAAATCAGTGTACCACATTTTACACAGATTTAATGAACAAGGATTTAAAAGTAACCACTAATATAATGACTTGGAGTTACTCAGAAAATAATGTATGTGATAAAAAAGAAAGATTCTTCCCTCGCGTCTGCTCCATTTGCCTACACAAAACATAACAAGTACGTGTATTTTAAGACAGAGGGGAAAGATAATCTACTTCAATACACTCAGCCTTGTTTGATTCCCAGAGTTCACTAGCTATGCGCCGTACAGACTCTAATGCTTACAATGTCAAATCCTTCCTGCAGCCTTATTTACATTTTTCCTTTTTTTGGCCCTGAGGCCAAAACAATCCAAGAGGAATGTGGGCGTCGCTTTTAGACAGATCACAGATAATTGCATCCAGTCTCCATTACTGATTATTCCAATCACAGAAAGCAGACAGAATTGTTTCAAAATGCCCTCTCTGTGACCCTGCTCCTGTGAAGGTCAAGCGCACTACCGTTCCCTGTAGCCAAGGAAGCAGAATCGACATGTTCCTGCTGTTTTGCCAGTTGCTGAAGGAATTTGTCTAATAATATGATTAATTTGATCTGGGGAAGAGGTACCTCAGTTACAAAGTCTCCCCTTTTCCCCCTTCTCCTTCTTTAAGTTCTCTCAGCCTGCTCTTTCTCTGGGAGCTGTAAAGCAGTAAAATGAAATCTGAGAAAAGAGTTCACACAGATCTTGAATTATTTTCCTATCAGTGAAATGGATAAGAGCTCCCTGTGGAGCATGTTTGCAGTTCTTTAAGCTAATGTATTTAAAGGAACATGGGCCCCTCTGGTTTGCGTCTATCACATATGAAGTAGCCAGATCAGTCTTATTACATTTAAGAATGAATACATTAAGTTCATGATGCATGTATGAT